CCCCTACAGCCTGGACAAGGACAGCCTCTACATCAACCGTGATTAGTTTTTTCTTTTTTTCATGTTTTACTCTATACTTAGATATATTTATTATATTTTAGATTTCATTTCTTGTTGTATTTTTGCAAATATTCAATATTTCTAAATTATTCTTTTCCCCCTACTATTTTTTGTGTGCTTTCAGTCCCCCTCATTCTTTTTTTTTTTCCTGCTGTGTTTTACACATTATTTCCTGCAGTGGCCTATACTTCCTCTCTTTCATATCTGTTCCTATTTTATTTAGTATATTAACCTCTTTACAATATACTTTATTTTCAGCTATTTTTAGTACTCTCACTTCTCCTCCCTCTTTTTGTGGGTTTTTTTTGTGTGCCTCACTCTCCCTTTCCTTCTGTTTATCTTTAACGAACATGTTCTTTCATTTCAGAGTACAATGAAGCACATCTTTTGTCAGGTAAATCTATAATTTTTTTTATAATCTGAATAGAAACCTGTAGTATCTTATGTTAATGTTGGCATGTATCATATTTTGTCCAATAGTGACAGTGTGTTTCTTCCAGAAAGAAATATAAGTACAACTATGTTGGGGGTTTTTATATTATTGTCTTCCTCCTCCTTTGTATAAGATAAAAGTTAATTCCCATTTATCTTTCACATTTTCTTGGGTTGTGCTTCCAGGTACAGCTATATCTTCTGGAACTGGGCATTTCACAGTGAATTTCACCATAACTAATCTCCAGTACTCTAATAGTCTCGGAAATCCATATTCTGCCAAATTTAGTGCTACAGCAAGAGTCTTGACTGCTCTGGTTAGTGTTATATAGTCCTTTTTTTCTTTTCTTTGTGATCTTGTGGTCTTCTAAATATGGTTAACTTGTAAAACATTCTTTTTCAGCTCAATCAACTGTTCAACGAGTCTAGTATTCATTCTGTGTATACAGGCTGCAAAATGACAGCTTTCAGGTAAGCATAATTATTTAGCTTTAGAAAATGGGGGGGTTCATGATTTTGTATGATACACAAATAGATCCTTATCCCTTAATTCACTTTTACATCTTTTCATTTATCACCTGATTCAAGAAACCCAAGAAATCATTACACTTTTTTTCAACTGTTTCTTCATGAATTTACTTGAATTCATACTTGCATCATCTGAAAGGTCAATTATATTCTCACCATTTTGATAACAAACATGAAAGACATCACTGGAAAAAAAATATTTTTTTTTTCTACCTGGCATTATTGTTGAATTAAATAAAAAGCCCATGAGTATGTATCATGAATTTTGAATTCTGGAACAGAACAGGATATATCCTAATTTTCCTAGACCTGCACAAAAAATTGAAGACACTGGAGTAGATGCTGTGTGTACCTACAAAACAGATTCTACTGCTTCCCAGTTTGATCGAGTGATTGTTTACCAAGAAGTAAGGAACAAGACAAATGGCATCACCAACTTAGGAATCTACAGCCTGGACCAGGAAAGCCTGTATATCAATGGTAAAGTGTTGATTTCCATGTGGATGTGGGGATATTCATTGGCTAATAGTACATAGCTGTCTTGTATTTAAGCACAGTAATGACTAGTGTGCAGATGGAATAGCATTTGCAACATGTATACTCAGGCTCAACCTATGTGCTAGATAATTCACAAAACTCCATCATCTGCACAAATCCTCCTCAAACTAGCTCCTTTTACCTTCAGAGGCTTTTCATTGTCAGTAGCAGCTTTTTAAAAAATTTTAAATAACATCTGATAAATTACCAAAACATGCAAAGCAGTATATAAATCATTAAAAGTAAAGGCAACTAGTTTCAGCACAAATTGGGAACCTTCCTCCATCATTTACAATGGAGCTTTCTTCAAAATAACATGTTGCTGCAATAGTTTAAGTGACTGCTCAGAAGCAGCAAATCTATTATCCTTCTGTGACATTGTTCACCTATACAAATATCCAATTCAACTATTGCCTCATTAGTAGCATAATTCATTACTACTTTGTCCTTTCTCCTTCCAGATTACCATGAAGCCCATCTCATGCCTTGTAAGTACTTCTAAGTAATTAAAAAGCCATAATGCCTTAAGTGACAATATACAAGATAGAGATTAATGCCAATTCAGATACCTTCTCTTTTTTTAGCCTTTTAATAGAACTAGAAGTGAAAATAAGGTGCAGACATCTAACAGTGAGAGGAATTAAATACTAAGCACTATCGGTATCAATGTCTCAGGAAGCATTTGAATTAGATCAGGATTACACAGGAGGTCAGAGGAGACTGCGTCAGGAGACCTGTTTGCAGAAACACAGAATCACACTCTTGGTAGGCTAAAGGGTAATTGATGTTGACATGCAATTCAGTCTTTCCTAAGAGTAACACTACAAGTAAACAGAATCTGAGGTTGAAAAAGCTAGACTGTCAGGCCAGTGTGGTTAAATAACATCAGGTTTTGTACCCTACAGTGTAAAAGGGGAGATGGGGGTAACCTCAGCTCCTAAGATGAAGTGGTCAGGTACCTGTTTACAGCCTGCTCAGCTACAACTGGCCTTCTGTAGGAATCTGGATCAGCTGGAGAGCCCTCATCTGCTCCACAGCTGTATGCCCTATGCTGTTGCTGGCATCATCATTCCATACTGAGCTGTTCAGTGTAGTGCCTATCCATTCCAACTGATAGGAGCTTCTTTATCCCTGGCTTTAGTAGGTTCATGAGTATTTCTTTTCTTGTTGCAACAAATTTTGTCCTTTTCTTGCAGCAACATCTCCAGCTCCTCCTCTTGCAACAGAGGGACATTTCACAGTGAACTTCACTGTGACCAATCTCCTCTACACATCAGCATTAGGAAATTCAAATTCTAAAAAATTCATTGCTACAAAAAAAACTCTGGCATACTTGGTGAGTGTCAGTCAGGTTCCTCTTGTGGCTATGTTCTTGTTGGTTTTATTATTTATTCACTGTGACTTATCAATTGCTTTTTTCTTGGCAGCTTGATCATGTTCTCAAGAACAGCAGCAGTAGCCCTGCTTACACTGGATGTACAGTGGTGGTACTAAGGTAGGCACATCCTGGAAGCATTATAAAAGACAAGGGCAATTCAAATTGTGTCTGACAATAGGATTATGCAGAAATCTTTGCATGTAATTCCTTCCTCATCCTGTTTCCTCCTGGCCTGGTAGAGCATGTTAAGTTACAGAGTGCCAAGTAGAATTACACCTCATTTATGATCCCTTTGTGATGGGGTGGTTATTACATAATTTCTTCAATTTCTTCTGTTCGTGCTTGCATTGATCTCACACCAATTTCACACTAGATGAAAAGGGTAATCTGACTAATTTTAAATGCATTTGTTAGATAGGAGTGCTGTTCCAATTGTATAAAGCAGCATAATACTAAATTTCCAGAATTTGAGGGCATTCTTTCATTCAGTAACATCATTTTACCGTATTTTAAGGCAAAATCCAATTCTATGGTAGTGCACAAGCCAACTCAAATGCACAGAAGCATCATTCAGGCCTGTAAACGTGTGTGGTTTTCCAGGTCTGCAAAGAACAGAGAGGGCACTGCCGTGGATGCAGTCTGCACATACAGACCCAGTGCTACCACTGCTGAATTCGACCGAATCAAAGTCTATCGTGAGTTCAGCAAGATGACAGCTAGCTGCACTGAGCTAGGACCCTACCAGCTGGATGCAGCAAGTTTTTATGTTAGCGGTAAGTGGCCAAGCTGATGTCAGGAGAGAATCTTCTCCTGACTGTTAATTTGTTATCAGGAGAAATTGAGTTACTACATAACTACAGAAGCAACAAAACCTGGGGAGCAAAAGCAAATGCTAACCAAGGCTGAGGAGCCACTGTCACTGCCTTTGCACCTTGATATTCCTTTGAACTAATTAACTTAGCCAAATACAACATGTCATATCATAATACACCATAGGTCATTCTCCAGAAAAGCTAAAGATCCACCTCTCAAGGTACACTATGGAATGCGTTCCCCTGCAGAGGAACAGCACTGGAACTGGACACCACTTGACAAAAATCATACTTAAATTGTCAATGTAGAAGTTAAATTGGATTTAGGGAATGGGTAGATTCCCTCTCAACATCCCTAAAGAAGGGAGAATTCTGTGCACTGCTCTAAGAAAAGCAGCAGCTTGCCAACAACATACAGCAGTGTAAATGTGCATTTGTGCCTAGACAGTCATCAAATCAGTCTTTCCTAGTAAATGTTTACACAGGATCTCTCAGACAAAAACAATTCAAGTTCTGTATTCCACTGTGTGCCAGACCTTCCAAAGTGTAAGCCAGTTTCTCAAATACTGTCCTTTTTCTTCCCCACAGGTTATAATGAACTGCAGCCTGGACTATGTAAGTACCTTTAACAGCAATTGAGGGCAAGATTTTGCTAGTTAGCAACAGCTTAAAAAAAAAAAGGGAAGTTGCACTAACCAAGAGCACTACTAGACTTATAAAAGAGCGTTAAGAGAATTTTGGAGCCTGTTAGGGAACTGCAGCTGCTATGACCCTGAAGCCAACTAGAATATCTGAGAATTTTTCTTACAGTGCTTTTTCTAAGGATGATGATCATAAATTGTATTTTCAAGCAATAATTTGCCTTCCTTGTTACAGCTGTTGATCAAAGCACACAACCTCCATCACTGGCAGTGAGGAACTTCACATTGAATTTCACTATAACCAACCTCCAGTTCACTACAGATCTGGCAATGCCAAATTCTAAAAAATTCAAGTCAATGGAAAGAGTCATGTACCATTATGTAAGTTTGGCAAAATGATGCCCTGCTTGGGCACAGTTCTTTTAGTATCTCTAATCTTTCTTTTGCCATGAAGTTTTACTTAAATGTTATTATTAAATTTCTAGGTTGACCCTTTACTCCAAAAAAGCAGCATCGGCCCTAATTATATTGGCTGCAAAGTAACCGCTTTCAGGTAAGAGCCATATCTGGGAAAAGTCTGCATCACCTGCTTCTTAAAAAATTGCCTCCCATTTCTCAGCTTTCAACACATCTGAGTGGTTTTCTTATATGGTGGCAATGTCTTCGAGTGGTTTTCGTTACACATCTTTGATCATGTACTAAGACTTAAGATTGACTTCTCAATAATGGCTAAAACATCCTAAACCAATGCCTCATCTCCTAGGTCAAAGGAGGACAGGGATGACACAGGAGTAGATGTCATCTGCAGCTATAGAGATGAGCCTTCAGATCCCAAGTTCCACAGAGAGAAAGTTTACCATGAGCTGAGCAATATGACAAATGGTATCACCAAGCTGGGACACTACAGCCTTAACAGCCAGAGCCTCTACATTAATGGTAACAAAACCACCTCAAGGTGACACAGACTATTTTGAAATGAGAATGAAGAGGATCAAATACACCTCAAAGCAGATAAAAAGTAGAGGGGACAAAAAAACCCCGGAGTCACTAAGTTAAAACAGTCATGAATTTAGTAACCATGATCCTGAATCTTTTGTGATAAAAACATGTGATTAGTGCTGCTGATACATTCTTGGATTATTTTCCTAATAATTGTCCATTTGTTTTTCAGATTACAATGAACTGCATAGTCTGTCATGTAAGTGTAATGTTAAAAACAGATACATGTTAAAGCTATTCAAAGGCATAAGATGATTTTGTTTCCCCCTGATTTGGGGGTGCTCATAATATTGCAAAGTAACTTGAAGCATGTGATCATGTTCATATGTTTTTCTGCTCTAAATGTAAAGAAAAATAACAACAGTACTGTCTAGGTCTTATGAAGACCCTGTTCTTATTTTATCTATGTAATTTTTGTTCTCTCTTATAGTGGTGAAGCCAACCACCACACAAAGCCCAGGACCAATAATGGAGCAATTCACACTGAACTTCACCATAACCAACCTCAGGTTCACAACAGACCTAGGGACACCAAATTCTGCTAAATTCAATTCTACTGAGAAAATAATGCAACATTATGTAAGCCAAAGTCACATATGTTTTTTACTGAAATCAGCCAGTATTTTGGGTTTCCCATACTCAAAGACCTTTCCTTGTCAGATTGACCCCCTGCTTCAGAAGAGCAGCATTGGCCCCTATTTCACTGGCTGCAAAGTAACAGGATTCAGGTGAGCAATACAGCTGAAAGATTAACTTTCAACTTTAGCAAATGGATTTCCTTATGTTTGACTGACTTTAGTAACAGTTCTTTTCCTTTTTCAAGAAATCAGTATCATCATAGTAAAAGTTCTATGCACTTTTGTATGATCCTTATCTTAAAAAAGCCTTTTTCTTTGTAATACCATGTCTTAGTAATTCCTGCAGTTCATTTGAGAACTGTGGACAGATTTTAATAGTTTGGGGATTTTTTTAATCACATCAGAAAAAAAAACCAAACATTTTTTGGAATAACTAACAGAACCTTCATGATACTCAATTCCTCAGGTCAGTGAGGAATACGGATAACACAGGAGTAGACACCATCTGCAGCTATGGAAATGGCTCCCAAGTGCCCAAGTTTGACCAAGCTAAGGTCTACCAAGAATTAAGGAACATGACAAATGGCATCACCAAATTAGGAATCTATAACCTGGACAACAAGAGCCTCTATATCAATGGCAAGTGCTTGATTTTTCTCATTCCTCCAGGCACTAGAGAAATTTGGAATCACCTTAGGTCCTAGGGGTCACTTCAATGTAAAAAAAAATCTGACCTTAAGGAAAAGGTGGTCCTACTCAATTTTACTGCATAACTTATATTCATGAGATGAAGTGTATGCTTCCAACAACATTTTCACATAGACCTTTTTGAAGATTTTAATTTCTATAATACATTGAAGAATGACATTATTTTAGTCAACCTCAGTCATTCACCTGCATATGAGCATTTCACCTGACTTCTATCCCACCAGTATTTAATTTAATCAGTAGCACATGTATTTTCTCATTGTAGTCTTTGCTATTATAAAAGCACCTTTGTCTGGTTAAGCAGTAGGTTGTTTAATAGATTCACACCCTTGGGGACTGGTTCTGATGATTCATTCCCAAGTCATCCATTTAATCATCCCCTTTTCTCTTTCATTCTTTTAAGTGTGTAGGTCTCTTACATAATGCTTCTCTTGCATTTCCTTTCCAGGTTACAATGAACCACTTGAGAGATCATGTAAGTATTTTGCCAAACTCATTCCAAGGAAAGCTATCAAAGGAGTGGTGCACTCAGAAAATAAGAGGGGAAGAGATTCTTCAGAGTAGCCTTGGAGTGTGCTAGGATTGGGAATGTTTTTGAAAGCAAAGATAGCTTTTTGTATAGTAAGATCATAATCCTTTTCCCCTTCGATTATAGCTCCGAGCATAACTACTGCACCAAGCCCAACATCCAGGCATTTCACACTGAATTTCACCTTGACCAACCTCCAGTACACAGCAGATCTGGATGCACCAAGTTCCCCCAAATTCATTTCCACAGTAAAAGTTATCAACCATTATGTAAGTCTGGCTCTGGTTTAGCCCATTTTGTGTTACAGTGGTTACATGCGTTCAAGTTCTCAGTTGTACTTTCTTTTTTTGACAGATTGACCCTCTTTTCAAAAGCAGCAGCATAAGCTCTGTGTACACAGGATGTAAAGTGATGAGATTTAGGTAAGATTCCTGAAAGTACAATTAACCATTTCTTTATCTGCTGTTATACACCTTACATTTGCATAAGTTATCATAGTTATTCTGATGCCAGAAAACATAAGCCAATGACACCTCCCTGTTCATTCATGATTTTCTTTCTGGTAAAATTACTTTGTCTTTAAGTGTCATTGCCACAATTCTTGAGAATCTGCTGAAAGATATAGGAGCCCAATTGCACTCATAGGTTTCAGTGCCTGTTGTTCTAGTCATACAAATTACACAGGGTGTTCTGTAAGCATCACAGTGTCCTAAAAAAACATGTCTGATATTTTTACTTAGGTCTGGGAGAGACAGGGATGACACAGGCATAGATGCTGTCTGCAGCTACAAAAATGATATCAGCCTTGCCAGGTTTGACAGAGAAAAGGTTTATCATGAGCTGAGCACCATGACAAATGGTGCCACCAAACTGGGTCACTACAGCCTAGAGAAGAACAGCCTGTATGTCAATGGTAAGCATCTATGAACAGTATCTAAATATGGTTTGGGGATCACTTGGAGATCATTCCTCATTCTTCCACTCCATTGGGTCTTGAGCACTAATGAACTTCTCCTTTGATTTGTTGGTATTCCGTAGGTTTTGACAGTGACAAAAATCAATCCAGCATATTGCCATTCTAGAAGCATTTCCATCCCTTAAATCATACAAATTCCTGGAGAATGTTGTTGTTACATTATATAATCTGAACAGGGACATACCTATATTGTTTTTGTGGTATGGATAGATCTGATGTAAAAATAAGTACACTACCTTTTTTATTTAGGTTTCCCCCTCACGGACACAGCTATCACCAGAAACCCTTTCCTGACTGAAGCTCCAGCTAAATTGGTCTACAGACTGAGCTTTAGAATAGTCAATGAAAATCTAACTAACCCAGACTCTCAGTCTCCAGAATACAAAGCAGCAGTGGAAAGCATCAGTAACAAGGTAAGGAGCTGCAGCTCAACTACCATCATGTCTGCACAGGTCAATTTTTGCAGCAACTGCCATAGATTTTTTTAATTAAAAAAATCAACATTTGGGAACAAAAATTTCTAGAATCTAAAAGATGAGATCACCCTTCATGTCACTTGATTTTATTATGTTACATGTGATCTTAAAACAACATACATTACAAAATGCAAGAGGTTTGGGTCATCTGTTAAATACACATTCAGCATTTCAGTCCCATCTCTAGAAGTGTATACAAATCTCTACCAACTCAGGTCAGCACATACATAATTCATTGCTCAGAATCCAACACATTCTCTTCAGCACCAATCTACCAACATATAGATAAAACCTTAATTAGGTCAGTTTTGCTTTTTAGACGAGGATGTAGCATTCCATACTTTGAGTTCTGAGTCTGTGCTGCAAAATGTGGCTCACGATGACAGCTGTCAGTCAGCAGGTTGTGCTGTTTAACACTGGCAGCTCACTCAGATAAGACAGAAAGGCTTGCCAAGCTGGAAGTCAGACTCCATCACCAGAAGGCATATTCTGAAGTAAAAAAACAACTTCCATGAAATCCAAAAACCCCAAAACTGGTGTTTCTCCAAAGTTAAAGACCCTTCTGCTGCCCTGAAGTATCAACCATGAGGCCCAGAACTCATTAATATTTAACATGACATTTTTATTTCAGATGAATCAACTATACCATCAGAGCAACCTGCGAGACCAGTTCCTGAACTGCAGTATTACAAGGCTGAGGTCTGTGATACAATCTGATTTTGTTTGAAAGGTTGCCACACCCTGGCACCATTCCCCAGTGGCCAAGTGCCATTGTCCTCTGCAGAATTCCTCCCCTCCACTCTGCTGCTGGAAATTATTTGGTTCATGCCCTAAGTCATTTCCAGACTTCCCAGCATTCAGTTTGAATATTTCCTGACTTAGTATCAACTGACATTTTTCTAAGTCTCAGTCAGAATTTCTGTAAGGTGCTCTTAAGTCTCTGAATATCCAGGTAATTACCATCAACAATCTTACCTCTTAATGAGGACCAAATAATGGCCCTGCAACCTCTGCCCTCCTCCCAACTTGGACTCCACTAGGTTTTAAAAGTAGGCTTCAGATATAGCTGTAATGTCCTACTCCAGATGGGAAGAAGCTTGGACAAGGGACCCTCACACATGGCAAAAGCTTTTTTTTTTTTAAAAAAGTGCTGATCATTGCATGCATGCAGTTCACAGAGAGAAGAGGTAGTGGTATTTAATTTGCTGTCCCTGGCCAAAGGAAAAGCCCAAAACAGCCTGTTCCAGGTTTCTAAACAGCACCACATTAGCTTAAAACACTTCACACTCAGAATAGCAGGAACCCTTTAGGAAATCCTTTCCCACGTGAAGTTTTATGATCGGCATATTTATCTCAGAACATCTGTTTCTCTGTCTGCAGGTCTGGATCCATAGTGGTCGACTGCAAGTGCTTCTTCCAGCCAGAGCCCAGCATCAACAGGGCTGTGGTTGAAAGGGCTTTTCAGGATGGCACTTTAAATACAACTGGACTATGGCTGGGGAGCAGTTACCAGCTGCAAGGATTCTCAGTAGAGAGTATGTAGAGCTCAGATCACTGCTGCCCAGTTTCCACCCAGATCATCCCACTTTGCCATAGCATACTCAGAATTCCCCAAATTCTGGTTTATTGGGGGGGGGGGGGGGGTGTCAGTAACATGGAAATAAATCTACATTATCCAAGTTGAATCACTGAACTCAGGTCAAAGTTGGGCTGGTCCTTTGCCACATTCAGTCTGTGTAGTCCTTTAGACCTCAATGGCTTAAGGTGTTAATGTTAAATAATAAGAAAATGAACTGGTAACTACTCACCATAACTTCACACATTAGAAATAAACAGGCTTTTAGCTTTTCAAATGTACAACTTCCAAAGAAATGACTGGCCTGGTACATTGCTAAAGGACTGATTTAAAGGGTAGACTGGGAATTTGTTATCAGACCCAAATGCAACTCAAGTTCTCTTTATCTATTAAAACTTAATAAAACTTAGGTTTTCCCAGCAAAAAGTCTGCAGATCAATGCTGCTTCACAGAAAAGCCTCTGTTTTTCTCTGCTAGAATTTATCTTGACCTTTTCTCTCAATTTCCAGGCTTGGAACTAGCAATTGAGGCAGCAACTTACAAAACACCCCTCAAGTCTGGAAAAGAAAACTTCCAATTAAGCTTCAGAATCTCCAACCTTCCCTACTCCCCAGAACTGCAGGATTCCAGGTCACAGATGTACCAAGTGAACAAAGAGAAAATTGAGAAGGAGGTAAAACTAACTGTGATAGCTGGATTTCCCTGTCCAAATTAAAGATGTATTAAATGTACTCAATTTTCCTCAATTGTTTTTCTTTCCATCAGCTTGATGTATTCAGAAATAGCAGCCTGAAGGACTACTTTGCTGGTTGTACTGTTGAGAGCTTTGGGTATGTCCTGCTTCAGAAGTGTTTTGTTTTTTTTCTTGAGTCCCAGAAGAGCAGTTAGCAGAAAAGGCATTCAGAGCCACAGCATGGTGTTTATGCCTCATTGCCAACCTTTGTGCTCTGGATGACGCATAGGAGGCACCTTCATTCAACTCTGTCAGTTTTGCCTTTACCACAAAAGGTTTCTGTCCAAATGAGAGGTGGTTTTGTTTCCATGCTAGCAAAGCTATTTTCACACATAAACAATTCCAGAGTAAAAAAAACCTATGTTCTCTCATTTAGCTTATTTGAATAAGCTAGAAATCCACTGAAACACATTAGCAAAACAATCATCAGAACTGACCAGCTGAAGAGCAAAATCTACTTCTGTGTGTCTTCTCCAACACCTCTTTGGAGGAGCAAAAAAGCTGATTTACCCCTTAGAAATGCCTTGCCTGGGATTAAATCAGTGGGTGGATTTCACAAGGCTGCATGAGTTCCTGTCACATCTAGCATAAACTGCAAAAACTGATCCCTTGCTAATAAAACATTGCTTAGACATCTGCAAAGTTGAGCCTGAATCTGAACCCCTCTCCCTGCCTCTACTCAGCTCTGCTTTTTCTCCTGTCCCTTAATGACAACTCTGGCTCTCATCCTCCAGGCCTGTCCATGGGAAAGCTTACACAAGTGTTGCCTCCATCTGTAAATTCACACCGGACCCCTTCTCAGGGACTTTACAAAAGCAAAAGGTGTATGAGGAGCTGAAACGCCTGACACATGGGTTCACCAAGCTGCACCCCAGCTATGAGCTGGAAGATCAGAGTCTGATTGTTGAAGGTGAGAGCTCCCGAAGATTACTTTAAAACAAAACTAATAAACATCCCCTTAGTCACCTCCAGAGCACTCTCTCACCTGTCCCACCCTTTATTTTCAGGTTATTCTCCACTCAAAACAGATGAACAGGAGTCTGAAGGATCTGGTAAGTGGTTTTCAGGAGTAATTCACCCTGCAGCCACTGAATACTTGAAGTACAGCAAATTAGCATCACATACCTTGAAGCAGAGACTAGACCCGTGCAAGAGCCCAGAAACCTAGGGCTCTCACAAGGCTGGCAGCAAACAGCAGGGGCCAGAGCCAGCCTGAGGAAAATGGAAGTGAAGGACAGGCAAAACAATGCAATTTGGGAAGCTGTTTTGGAGCTCTGGCACTAAGAAGTTTTGATAACAAAAATCTAGCTACAGTGCTGTGAGCATAGCCACAACTCCAGAACTAACAGTAAATGGGAGGAAAAAAAACATACTCTGAACTGTTGCTTTTCCATGCACCACAAACATGCTGGCAAAAGTAACTACAGCTTTTGCTGACAACCTTAACCCTGTTCCCTTCCCCAAGAGAGTCCAGCTGGCAGCTAAGACAGAACTTTGTCTCTCTGAACATCCCTGAAACCATCAGAGGGCTCTGAGGCTGAGGTGGCATTTAAAGTTGTAGATACTCAGATCCTCATCCCATTTTACCAGAGTTTCTGTCCATCCTGTCCATCCTCACATTGCTGGGGCACATTTGCCCTGCAGCCACGGAAGGCCAGATGCTACCTTTTTGTGCCTCACCTATGCACTGTACAGTACTTTTGAACTTTGCCAGGGTGAGATGTCCCCCTCTGTCCTACATACAGGAATTCAAAAAACTCATGTGCCCTTATTTTAACTTTGCAGAGCTTCAGTTCTGGGCAATTATCCTCATCTGCATTTTCACCCTGCTTGGCTTCATTCTCCTCATCTTGTTATGCTTCCTGGTAAGTGGCCCCTTTGCTGTCCTACCTCTAGCATGACTATGGCAGTGTCCACCCATCTGGGGAGCTGCTGCAGGGACATTCAGACACATCCCCAAGAAGCCCAAGGGAAGCAGTACCTGGCACACAGGGTAACAACAAACAGCATGCCAAATCCTCCTTCAGTTACTGCCAACTCTTCCAAGGACTCATGCACAGGAGGATGGGGAAGGGTATTCACAGTCAGCTAGTACATTTCTAGGAAAGGAAGCAGTGGATCATGCATGAGATCTCTCTTTGCCAAGAGAAAAGTAAAAAACCAAAGGTAAGGCAAGCACCAAGATAACAAGCACGTTAAATTAGAGGATCTCCCACGGCATTTCTTAAACCTCTTCTCTGTCCAAATACAAGCAAAATTATCAAACTACAGATAATGGACTGCAGAAGACAACATTTTTAGTAACCTGCTAGAATCACATCCAGAATTTTGTATCCAGTGCTCTTCACACAATTGTAGCAGCCTCGCAGGGTTGTACTGCAGCTGCATACCCTTGGAAAGAGAAGAGCAGATCCTCTTCTGATACCTGGTCCTGATTTGATGGGGGAACAGCATCTTAATAGCACTGTTTCAAAAGCGGCTGTGTTTGCTTTGCACCAGCTAGAAGAGAACAGCTAAATCTACAGAGAACATGGATTAGTGTCCTTGGAGGTTCAAGAGTAAAAACTACAGTCAGGAAGATTTAGAAGAGGAAAAATCTCAGATTCAAAACTGAGGGCTGTGCTCAGTGTCTGCCTTTAGGCAAGCATCTTATTCACAGAGCCTCTCCATCCCCACCTGGAAATGTGGTCTGGGGGCATCTAATGAAGGGCAAAGCACAGACTTGGGTTTTGTTGCCATTAACATTGTCCTTTTCCCACCAGATCATCTTCTGCCTAAGAAGAAAGTCAAATCTATACCAGGTTCAACAGGGCATGTACGGAGTGTACTTCCCACATCTGAACACGAGAAAATTGCATTGACATAACAGATGAAGTCTGTCCTCAGACTTGTTCGTCCATTGATGAAAAATGTTTACGAGTACTAGAAAAATGTTTCTTTAATAAATTATGTTTAGCATTTTCTCTTGTCTTGAGGCAAATCTTTGCACTATTACCATAACTATTTTCATACTATGGGAAACTGCCAACAGTGCAGACATTGAGGAAAATATTTTTTTAAAGCACTGCAGTATTTTATACAAATATCACACAACCAACAGAAAGTAAAGACTACCAGGAACTGCAGTTTGCAAGACTCTTCAGTGTTAATGTCAGTTTTCTGAAATAGGCATAAAATTATACTAATTTATAGATTTGGGGGGGACTGACTATTATAAAATTAAAAACTTCACCTAGATTTTAGCTTTTTCCCCAATTTATCTTTTAAAATGTAAATATCTCAAACTGATTGAAACATTTTGTCTATTTAAAATGACATCGAGAGGTTATGTAAAGATACATTGTCTGAGCATGACGCAGTCACTCTGTCTTTTGAGATTGATACTGATTTCAGTTGAATAAGTGCCACGTTTATTGCCATGAAACTATTTCCATGTATTTCCTCTGTAGCAAAACACTTTTCACCCCAAAAGAGAAAATGCTTTTGCCCTACTGAAATCCCCGAGCTTTTGCTCCTCAGTTGTCTTGGGCATCCCATAGTGCAGGGTCTGATGTTACAGGGATCAGGACCTTTCACTGCCCCTCCAGACCACCTGAGCCAGATTTGCCTGAGAACACCTGTTCACCTCAATTTTCTGCACAGCACAGGAGATGATGCTGATCTCTACGTAATTATTTGATACTATCATTAGATGAACACTCTGCTGAAAGTGAAAGCACTAGAATTAGAATTAATGAAACCACAATTAGTCATTAATCCTTCCACTGCAGGCAATGTTTCCACGCAATCAAACTGGCTTTTTACTTTCAAAGTAAAACACCATGGCAGGTTGGACCAGTTCATCCCCCAGGTCAGGTTCCTCAGTGCAGAGTGAAGTTTCATACACAGAGGATTAGAAACCTGTTTGCTCAATCAAACAAAAGTTTTCAAGCATCCAATATTATGTCAGCAACATCAGATTAAAAGCTTTCACAGCTGCTTGCAAATGACCTTTGTAGGTTTCTGTGCCACCCTGCATGCCCTGGCTGCAACAACCATAGCATGACAGAAGCACTGTGAGCAGAAAGGACTTCACGTCTCAGACTTTGATGGCAGGCACTCAAGCTGCGTGACAGAGCAGGGCTGGCGGGGTCCAGCCATTAGAGCACCAGCTCCTGCCATGGCAGTCCTGGGCAAAGCCCCAGATGTTCAGCCAGCTGTCCCTGCTGCACCTCTGTTTCCTTCATCCTGGCAGTCTGGTGCCCTGCTCCCCTCTCACCATGGAGCTCCATCTCTTACTCTCAGAAAACACGCAAATGATGCTAATAACAGCATAGAGATGTAACAACTGGAATGTGCTGGGAGATGAACATGCTATTATGTGGAGCCATTTCCTAGCGGCATTGAATTTTCCTTTCTACACTACGACCACAGGAGAAAAGCTGCCCCTCAGCACCATGCGCCACACCACCACCACCTCATCCCCCAGGTTCTGCCCACAGGTGTGCTGGGAACACGAGGAGCCCAGTACACATTGCAGACCAGACCAGCAGCCCCTGTGCTGGCACTGCTGTCCTGTCCAGCCCTGGGGAAAAAAGGGAAGGCAGAAAACACAGGGATTTCCCACAGAAGCTCTGAACAGCACCTCAAGCTCCAGGACAGAGCTGAAAGCAGCAAATTTGCATCTGCTCAGAAAGGCACACATAGCTGATCTAGTTTAGAAAAGCTTTGGCTTAAATGCAGCACAGCAGCACCCAGCTCTGCCCAACCTGCTTGTGTGGGCTCCAAAGAGCCAAGATGACCTTCCAACATCACACTTCCTAAGGGGCTGTTGCACGCATGCCTTTCTGCACAAACAGCATCCCCCTCTCCGTTGCACAGCCACCAGCGCTCACTGGTAGATCAGGATGTGCCGTGTACATCCGACCCCACGCGCCTTTGCCACTGCAGGCAGGGGAGTCAAACCCCAGCCCTGCCAGCTGGTCTCCCATGCCCAACCCCCAAAACTAAAGAGCCAAATCTAAAGCTGAAACACACTGCAGAAGCAGGGAAGACAACTGAGAGGGGAAAAAGAGGCTGAGGATCTGAGAAAGCAGCAGCTTGCAGGGAGAAAGGCCCAAGCTGGAGCATGCTATGGGGATGGCTGGTGCCTGTAAACCTCCCTGCGGGGCTGCTTTCCAAGAGGAAGGAGCCCTCACATACCACAGTGCCTCTCAGCATCCCCTGCACCATGTCGCAATGCGCTTCATGTCATGGTTGGACACCTGCCCACATATGGAGCTGCTGTTTGCAAACAGCGGCCCCCCAGCAAGGCTGCTGGGGCCAGGCCAGCTCAGCAGTGACATGGGTGGCTTAGCCTCTGGCATGGTGACCCAGCCCCAGGCAAGGATTGGGTCTGGGGAAAGGCAGAACAAGTAGGCAAAAAGGCTGCACTTGACCTCAGGGATCTGCCCTGGACCTATCAACACCTGCCTGCAGCACCACCCTCTGTGGCTGCTTTTCTCCAGCACAATCTTCAGCCTCCCGGTGCCTCTGCTGTCCCCTTGCACTGCAGATGCACCAGGGCTGTTGCTCAGTGTTTCTGTCCTTGCTGCTACCAGTTTGCAAACTGGCATCTAGCAGCACCTGGTCACCTCTTTTCCCAACACAGGGCTAGGTAGACTTGCCCAACACTGCCTTGGTAATTGCTGCTCAGTAAGAGACAGTTTACCAGTCCCCTTTTTAGCTCTTTAAACATTTTGTGCTGAATGCTAGAAACAAGCCTGAATTGCAGTGATAAAAGATTCAGCTGCTTCTTATCATTTCCCCCATCAATTCCTATTCAATTTGGCTCTTACAGATATAAAAATACTCCGTCTGCTTTGGAAGCAGTCATCAAAAAGCCCTTCGTACAGCAAGGGCACCATTCAGCCACCTCTTTAACCTCCTGTTCTCAACATCAACCCAGCACCATTTCCCAGCAGCAGAACTTCGTCCTGTTCTGCCTTCAACAGAGAAGAGAACCTGAACAACCTGAGTTGCCTCGTCCAGAGCAGGATCCAGACCACCCACCTGGCCCCAGCTTCACCACCAGGATTTATAGTTCCATAGGCAAGGGTACATCCTTTCTGCTCATCCTCCTCACTGATTCATCACTAATTGCATCTCATCAGCCTTTTTCCTGCCCTGCTCCACTGAGGACCTTAGCCTGGGGCAGCTCCTCCTGCACCCAACCAGGAATTTAATTAGTGAAATGGTTGCTTTATCAGAAGCAAAAGCTTTATTCTGTCAGCACCACAATTGCTGAATTTTGTTCCCCCACCCCCAGCCTGCAAGAAGGAAATACAAATTTCCCTCTGAGCCACTGCTGGGCCTTACGGCTCCTCTTTCCTCTGCACAAGCACATTTGCTCCTCTCCAGTAAAAAGCACCAGATTTAGAGGCAGCAAGAGAAAGAAAATTAGAAAATTATATTTTTATACTTCAGCTTGCAGTTTGGCCAATGCATCAGTGAAAGAAGCATTGAGGCAATGCAACATTTCATCAGCTTTTGTGCCCACAGTACAGCCCAGCGCTCTCAGCTGCTGCCTCCCTGGTGTGAAAGCAAGCCAGGTCCGTGCTGCAAACCGCCAGACAGCAGCTACACCACGGAGCCATCCGGTCCTGCTGCATGAGGTCACCTGCACATTATTCAAACAGCCCTGACAGAACTTACTTCAATCACAGCAACTCAGCAATGCCCATCTGAGCAGAGATGAACAGGCTGAGGGCAGAGGCTGCACAGTGTCAGCTGGCTCATTGCAGGCTGTCACCTCTGAAGAGCGTTAAACAGGATTTTAACAAGTGATGAGCCCTGCAGGAAACAAGGAGTTGTTTTCCTTGGGTGTGTAACCACAGCCACAAAGCTCCAGGCACACTGTGCCCAATGAGGGATCCCCTGGGGCACTGGCTTCTGGCCAAACAGCATTACAAGAAACAGCAACAAAAAAAGGCCAAAAGGAGACCACAACCCTCTCTCCAGGACAAATGCGCTGGCATAAGCCAGAGCTGGGCAGCACCATTCACTTCATCACCCTCCCGCCAAAGAGCAGATGATACCATCAAGCATTGTGGCATCATTAAACTTGCCCAGGATACAGAAGCAAAAAATTCCCTGTCAAAGGGGCCAGAGGTGCCTCCCTGCTCTCTTTAACCACCACTTTCCATTTGATCTTACCTGGTCTGAAAAGTCTCACTGCAGTCGAGGACTTCAACCCCAGCACTGGGACGGCATCACTAGATCCATGTTTTTATGCGAGACTGAGCAAAGAGCTCGATGTGTCACGCTGCAGACAGAGACCCTGGTCCCAGGCACATTTCTGTGTCTGCAGCAACACTCCTGCATCCACCACTAATCCGATATTCAGAGGGTGCCAGGCTGAGCAGCAGCGACCACAACTCCCCTCCAGCATTTAGGGGAAGGCACCATTTCACTGGGAAAAAACACCCATAGTGATGGGGGGGCTTCACAGGACAAAGATGGAGCAATTCAATCCTTTATGCAAAGCAGGGCAGTGGGATATTTGCTCAGGACCTCCACAGCCAGGCAGATCTCTGTCCTTTTTGGGGCAGACCAGAGGCCAGGCAGAGGGCCCTGGTGAGACCCCAGGACACACAGTAGCCAGGGGAGATCTGCTGCCACCACCTCGGACCCAGCTGGTGTCACAGTTCCCCTGACCAAACGCACTCAGGAAGGAGGGGGACCCCAGGGGCTGGGTTTCCCCTGAGGGGGGACTGTACTGCTGCCCAGCTCTGCAGGGACCCTGGGATAGGGGCTCCCAAAACCAGGGACCAGGACCATCGAGGACCAGAGATTCACCCCCCAGTGTCTGCACTGCTTAAATGTCACCAGGACCACCATATGGTGGAAGACATCAAGCACAAGTGCTGCTATGTTGCTTCCAACTTTGAAAGCAAGTGCCAGCTCCTGACAGTCAGCTGCACCCTGGATTTTTCCCTGCCCGATGGCCAGACCATCAGCCTTAGCAAGGAGAGGTTTCATCATCTAGAAGCACTATTCAACTCAAAGTGGGGTATTTTCTACATGGGCATCTATGAGATGGCCTGGAGAAGTCTCGACAAACTTGCAGAAGAAAGCAGGTCAACAACATACAAAAGCATCCTCCTGTGTGTGGGGTCCTCTCTCTTTGGGGGTCTAGAGAGGAGGTTTTGCAACAAGCTCCTCCAAAGCCTGTCCCCCAACACCAAGGTTGGTGTGGCCACTGCAAAGGTGCTCAGCATGGATAGGGGGGTCCATCCTCACCTCCCTCAAGAACTTCCAGACATAGCGGATCCAAAGGGACAAGTATGATGAAGAGGGGCTGAACATTGTCCACCAGAGATTCTTATTGAGGTGACACCCACACCAAGCCCAGACAGCAGTTACACAATTTTCTTATGGCTACAGACCAAGCAGTAGAAAGCAATAATAAATGATTTTGAGCTATCAAGTGTCATCTGCTCCCCAGCCCTGCACTGGGCGCAGCTGAGGGCTGTTTAGGTAAGAGCCACAGACTCAGGCTGCAGCTACAGATGAAGCCAACAAGTGCTGCTCCTCAGGGATGCACCATCCATCCACCAGAGCACTGCCTCTACAGGGAAGAGGCAGCCCCACCACCAGCCCGGGGCAAAGGCTCAGAGATGATGCTGAAGTCCTGCCCTAAGCCACCTGGTCCCCAGGCCCCACCTGCTGCCTGCCTCCCTGGTGGCCCCAGGTCCACATGGTCACTTACCCATCCCTGTCCCCACAACCCCTTGTGTAACCCCACATGGCCAAGCTGACAACACAGATCATGGTGTCCCCAACTGGGACCAATGCAACAGCATCAAGGTGACATTGCCACCCATGCCAGGAGGTCACCAAAATGCAGGAATGGATGCAGGGGTCCCACAGCAGCCTGGGCTCACATCTAGCAGAGCTGAGCAACAGCTCAGCCAGCACCAGAATAGCCTGCAGAAAAGCCACTCCCTTGGAGCTGCAGCCCACATACCCTGCAAAGGTCCTTTGCTCCCCACATGCAACCCCATGGGGCTCCCATCAAGCAAACAGCCCTTGCAGTCACCTCCAAGCACCAAAAGCTGGCCATAAACATCATTATTCAGGCAAAAACTAGGTTCTCAGAGCAGCCTACCAAGGCACAGGAGACAAAGCAAAAAAACCCACAACATCACAACCCCTCTCCCAAACCATGTAAAGGGTTTTCATACCTCAACCAGGAAATAGACTGCCATGAGCCAGCTACTGCCCAGTGGAGAGGAGGGGGCTTTCCACCCCTGATGCTCTCTTCTAGGAAGGAGAGCTGCTCCCACCCTTCTGGATTTTATAGGGTTGAGGGTTTATGAGCTGCAGCTGCAGCTCTTCTACCACCTTGCACCACTCCTCAGGACTTGATTGCCCTCAGCTGTGATCCCCAGCAGGGAACTGGGAGCATCCCCCCAGCATAGGTGGGAGAGGCTAAATTCCCCACAGCTGCATTTTATATCAAGGACAGGAGTTGCCCATCTCCTGCTGGGCTTGGGGGACCTGCACCCACATTTGTCATCCTCTCCTAGTCCTCATTCTTCTCTGTTCAGCCCCGAGGTCTCTATGTCCCAGGAAGACCCCTGATTTCATGCACTCCACTGGGCCGAGTTAAGGGTACTGTGGCAGGTTTTACCACTGATCTTGAACAACAACACGGCAGATTTAATTTCGTTTTAATGCAGCGGAGGTGTCTGCTCCCTGCTCCAGCGCTGAGAACACGTGCGGGCTGGAGCAGTCTTGGTCCCCCCGCTGTGGCTGTTGCCTCTGAACACCAACACCTGCATGTGAGTGATTTGCTCACTGCAGAGAGGAGCAGGAGCCACGGAAAATATTGGAAACAGTGTCAAGTTCAGCACTAAAGCCTCCCTCAGACAATCCCCAAAATAAATCATGCCAAATTTAACAAACTTTTGAGAAACTTCCCCTGATCTTTTGAAGCTGACACAGGGTTTGGTGGGAGGGATATGGGATGCTGCAGGGATGCAGGAAGGATGTTACAGGGACAGTGCAATGATGCAGAGCAGATGCTGCAGGAACGTGGGAGGGATATAGGAGGGATGCCACAAGGATGCTGTAGGGATGCAGGGGGAATGTTGCAGGGATGCAGGGGGGATGTTGCAGGGATACTGTAGGGATGCTGCAGGGATGCAGGAGGCATCTTGCAGGACACTTTCCCACGTCTTTCTGACAAGCAAAGAGTGTTTGGTTCTCAAATTGACTCAAACTAGCCACTTCATTTCCCCTGAAACTTTCCGGAGAAAACAAGTTCTTATCTCACTAGAAACCCAGGCCACAGATGCTGGGCTGCCTGGGAGGAACAAGCAACTCTTGTAAGCCAATAGTGGCACTCTTAGCCTTGGACAACTGCTGGCTGCTGCCTCCCCAGGGATGCGCTCGAGGACAGGGCTGCACCTATGGGGCTGAGCTGCTGGCACCACATGCCCGGTGCAGCTGCAAACCACGGTCCCATGTCCTGCCGAGAAAAGAGCTGCAAATTTGTTTCCTGTGAGCGGAAAGGGGAAACACAGGGGGACCCGGCACAACACAGGGGTGTTATTCTGTAACACTGGTATCAGCTGAAAAATCAAACACTTGGCTTTCAGCCTATACCTTTTTCTGCTAAAGGCTTAACAGAGGGACAGGACTCTAATTCTGACTTTGGTTAAGTTTGTGGTGAGTGCAGCCCTCTGAATGGGCACTGCTGCGGCCCTCAAAACAACTGGCGCATCTGCAGCGTTTATAGCCCGGTAAATCCCCCCTCCTCCTGTTTCTGCTCAGCAAAAAGCAGAGCGGCAACATCTCTCCCTCCCGACTCACCCCCCGCACAGCTCATGGTGATGGGGAGCAGAAAGGCAGAGATCGGCTCCCCTCTCCTG